AGTTTATATGTTATGTTGTATATATGCCGGGCTACGGTCCGATGCTGGGGCAAGCCCGAGGAATGTTTATATGCTTATGATATGTGTTTATGTTATATGATATGTTATATGTATGCCGAACTTCGGTTCGATGCCGGGTGGGGCCCGATGCCTGATGCGGTCGGATGTCGGGCGGGGCCCGATGCAGTGGGCTAGGCCCAAGTTATGCTTATGTTATGTGTTTATGTTATTTGCATTATTGATGTGTTTATATGTATACCGAATTTCAGTCCGATGCCGGGCGACGCCCGATGTAACGGGGCAAGGCCTAGTGTATGGTATGTGGTAGTATGGGGAGACTCACTAAGCTTCGTGCTTACAGTTTTCAGTTTTGGTTTTAGGTACTTCGGTTTCCGAAAGAGGAGCTCGGGATGATTGCAGTGCACACACCATTTGTCTAGCATGGGATATTTATACTTTGATATATTTTGACAGATGTTATGATATTTCGAGTTACATTATTTATGATTTCTATATGATGTTTAATGCCTATGGTTTTCTTAATGATTTAAAACGAAATTTTTGGAATGTATTTTTGGGATGTTACAAGTTAGTATTAGAGCCTTGGTTTGAGGGATTCGGGCGCACTTTCGGGTATGTCTGAACTCAAACTAAGGAATTGGTATGGAAATTTTCAAAAGAAAACCATGTTTATAAAAGTATTTTGAGAAAAGAAAAGAGTTTTAGAAAAGCAAAAAAGAATATTGAAAAAGAGAAAAGGGTGTGGTGCATGCAATCAGCCGAGCTCAAGTAAGTACTCCCAAATTATCCATACAAGTTTATGTTATGATATGATTATGAGAACTGCATGCTAGATTAGGACTAAGGATCTAGGAATGATGCCTTTTGTGCCTATTATATGTGTACCGGCTTTATGAGAACTGCATGCTAGATTAGGACTAAGGATCTAGGAAGGATGCCTTATGTGCCTGTTATATGTATCTCAGCTTTATGAATCGCATGCTAGTACAGGTTAGTCAGTGATGGCCTGAATGAGATATGCTTGAATATGTTTACTTGATGCTCGAATGCTGCTTGCTTTGTGCTTTTAGGAGTTCGTTATCTTTTACTAACTAGTAAGTGAATATGTTAAGTTACATATTGCAAGGACTAAATAGTTTTAGAAGGTTAGGTCTAGCTCTATTACGCAGCTCTTGTTTGAGTCCAACCGTTGTAGGGTAGGATCTCTCATTCGAAGAATTATCTAGTCTTAGTGATATGTAATAATATTCACGAGCTAGTTAGGGGGAGATAGCAGGGACTCCTTATGCAGCTGATAGCGGAGAGTGGGTTAGTGATTACCCTAGGGCAAGCCTAGGATGAGAGTAGCAGAGAGCGGTAGCAGTAGAAGGGACTTGGTGGAGTCAAGGCAGTTCTTGAGGAAATCACGGATAGATGTGGAAGGTAGTATGAGCTTGTACTACTGAAAGCAGAGGATCCGTACTTGAATCAAGGAAGGCTGAGATGAATCCAGGGAACTTGTGGCGTGTGAGATCCCTCGAGTTATGACGAGTATTATGGTGATTGTGATGGTATATTTCTGAGTATAGTGACGCTACGTGGTAGAACAGATGGTAGTTCTGGTGCCGACGAGGGATCAGGCTCGGACTTTTGAGTCGGGCAGCTTGATGGTCAGATGAGGGAGTTCATTTCATCAGAGAGTACGTACAGTATCACTTATCAGATTCCTGTGATCTTCGGTATGATCAAGGAGAGCATTTTAGAGATTTGTGATGAGAGGCTGAGTGCATTCTACATCGAGATAGCGGTCATGATAGGGACGCGTACGTTGATGTTTCGGGAATTCAGATCTTGTGAAGCTCCAGATTGTCATGGGAGTTAGGGGCCCCATTGTTAGTAACAGATGGTTGGCAGATGTTGCCAACACTTTTCGTACCAACCGTTGTCTCGAAAAGAGACAAGATCCGACTTACTTCCTGTCTCATGAGGGATAAAGCACGCGATTGATAGGAAGAGGTTGGTAGTGAGTTGAGTGATGAAGCGGTTGATGCTATGTCATGGGATGACTTTTTGACCAGATTCCGGGCGGAGTTGCCCCGGCAATTGAGGCGCAACAGTTGGCGCAAGAGTTGTTGGATCTCCAGCAGACGACTGAGACTGTGGCAGGGATCACTACCAAGTCTCAGGGTAGAGCTTACTTGGTACCGCAACATGCAGCGGATGAGGAAACGAAAAAGGTAAGGTATCAGGACATACTCAGAATGATAGCAGGGAGATCGTGAGTATCTCGGGGTGCGAGACCCTAAATGATATGACTTCTAGAGCACGAGAACGAGGTATTGACTTGGAGCACATTAGGAAGAGGGAACCAGATCAGTTGCTTATATTGAAGGGTCTCGGGAGGAGACCCAAGATTCCATATCAGCTTTTGAGAGGCCTGTAGGGCCAGATTCGGTGCAGCACTTGCAGGATTGGGAGAGTACATCGTCATCTTGGTTTATTCCAAGACTGAGGAGTAGCACGAGGATCCCTTGAGGGAGGTGCTAGAGACTCTGATGAGGAAGAGATTTTTTGCAAGGTTCTCTAAATGTGAGTTCTGGTTGCGCGAGGTGCAATTTCTTGGGCACCTTTTCAACCAGAAGGGTATACTAGTCGATCGGGCCAAGATAGAGGTCGTGATGCAGTGGGAGATTCCGAGGTCTCCAACTGAGATTCGGAGTTTCCTGGGTCTAGCGGGTTAATACCAGAGATTTATTCGGGAGTTCTCCAAGATTGTAGTTCCTTTGACCCGACTAACTAAGAAGTCGGTGTCCTTTTGCTGGGGGCATGGGCAGCAGGCAACCTTCAAGACTCTCAGACAGCGGTTGTGCGAGGCACCGATTCTCACCCTGCCATAGGGTGTAGATGATTGTGTGGTTTACTGTGACGCTTCGATCACGGGTGTGGGCGCAGTACTGATGCAGCGGGGTCACGTGATAGCAGGCCTTAGGGAATCAGGTTGGGGATCCTAGTTAGGACATGAGTTCGGCTTGGGATGTTAGGTCGTTTGTATGCTCGACGGTAATCCGCAACTGAGATAGTGAGAGAAAGTGTTGTAAGTCTGCGGGTGTAGCCGTAGCATTCACTAGCAGCCAGATAGTGTGAGAAGGTGTTGTAAGTCTGTGGGTGTAGCCGTAGCATTCACTAGCAGCCAGATAGTGTGAGAAAGTGTTGTAAGTATGCGGGTGTAGCCGTAGCATTCACTAGCAGCTAGATAGTGTGAGAAAGTGTTGTAAGTCTACGGGTGTAGCAGTAACATTCACTAGCAGCCAGATAGTGTTAGAGTGTTGTAAGTCTGTGGGTGTAGCTGTAGCATTCACTAGCAGCCAGATAGTGCTAGAAGTGTTGTAAGTCTGCGGGTGTAGCCGTAACATTCACAAGATTGGCAGATAGTGCTAGAGTGTTGTAAGTCTGTGGGTGTAGCCGTAGCACTCACTAGGTTAGTAGATATCATGAGCGTGTTGTTAGAATGCGGAAGGAACAGTGGTACCCATCAGTTCGGGTGCAACAGTGAGGGTGTGGCAAATCTATAGATTGGTTTAAGGATTTTCCCAGACGAATTAGACATGTTTGAGCCAGTGATGAGACCCTGGGAACGCCACCATAGTTATTAGATCAGAGAAGCAATGGACTGCTTAAGGTCGTTTGTGATATAAGGCTACCATTGGTAAGGTAGCAATCACATTTAACCTGGGATTTGGTGACGTCAGGATTCGACGTAAGGACCCGAGCGGTTAGATCAGAAGGTCGTTAGAGCCATAGTGGCAAGATGACTAATGGCAACTATTAATAAGACAAGGATTTCGTTCGGAAGTCGCGTGGGGCGACTGTGAGATTGCTCTTGGCTCAGCAGCCAGACAGGATGTCAGCATTCCAGATAAGCTGGAACCAGGGAGGTCTCGGTGGACTTTGGGGAAGCAGCCATGTGGCAGCGTGCTGTTCAAGCAGTTCAGTGTTCTAGGCAGTTCAGTGTTTCAGGCAGTTCAGTGTTTCAAACAGTTCAGTGTTTCAGGCAATTCAGTGTTTCAGGCAGTTCCAGAATTCCGGATAGTACCCGATTGAAACGGACCAAAGGGGAGGCCAGTACCCCGGTATGCTTAGCAGTATTAGCATTATAGGATTTCATGTATGGTTAGAGTCACAGATAGCTTGGGCTATGCAAAGTCACTCACAGTGGGATTATCTGAGCCTTGGCCAAATATAAGTGATCTGCAGGGATAATTGGGTCAATGATTCTGTTTGTAGTAGGAACCTCGAGACTGCAGATTTCAGACGGAGTAGATGTGATCTTATTGCAAGGAACTCGCACATCTACGAATTTTAGGGCCTTACGAAGGTTGGTCACGTTTACCCTGGGGAAGGCTAGGGTGTGCCCAGGGCTGTGGCCATGTTACTTTAGTGGTTTAGCGCGTAAGGAATGGTAAGGAATGATTTCGAAGACGAAATCTAATTTAAGTAGGGGAGAGTTGTAACACCCTGTTTATTAAATAAATAAATGAACAAATTAATAAATGATTAGTAGCCCTAAAATCCGTTATTATATAGCAAGGTGTTTGTTTCGTGGAGTTTACTGGCATAATTTAGAAGTTGGGGATTAAAAGTGTAAGTTCCAGACTGGTTTTGTAAATATTTATGAAGGCATGGGCTAAAGAGTAAATTCTGGACCTAATCTGAAAAAGATTTGTAGAGGGAGGGACTGTTTGGTAAAATTCGAACTTAATTTGTAAAGGATTTCAGGAGGCAGGGTTTAAAGGGTAAATTATAGACTTCTTTTGGAAAAATTTTATGGAGGAGGGACTGGAAGCGTCATTATAAAAAAAGATGTGATATGAACGGGGTATATAACCGATGGCTTCTTAGTCCAAACCCTAACCCTAAAGGATGGACGCAGCCGCCATCTCTCCACCCTTATGTCTCCCACCGGCCGCCACCCTCTTGCTTCTTCGACCACCGAGCCGCCGATGTGCCTTTCCGCTGAAGACGTGAGCCACCACCGCCAACCGTGGATGCCGGCAATACATTGCACTGTCGTATCTTCCTTGCTCTCAGACGCCGCCACCACTTTAGTCGCCGGACATCGCACACAGATGGGGAAGAACCATCGTGACCCTCCAGCCGCCGCCTTGGTGAGGCGATCACCACCTGGTCGCTGCTACTTCGCCGTCATGGAGCCTCCTAGTGTCGCTGACATCCTCCTTCGTCGTTGCTGCTTCACTTCATCTTTTCTTCTCCCTCAGTTCGTCGAAGCACCACCACTAAAGTCAGGTCAGCCTCCGCCGCAGTCCGTACCCACTGAAGACAGAGCGGTCACCGAGGCTAGCCTCTTGTCGCCACCATTCATGCTGCCGTTTCCGCTCCAACTGCCGCCGTCAACCCCCTTCAAGATCGATGAAGAACTACTCAGTGGGTGTTTCTGCACATGTGTGTGATGTAGTGTGTGGGTGAGAAACCCTTGGCCGGAATCTGAAAGAAGTCACCACCACCACCGCGAGGTGGTGGCTGCCACTGTCTACTGCCGCCTGCCGCCACAAGGTGGCTGTGTGTGTGTTTAGCTTACTGTGTGTGTGTTATTTGAGATGTTGCATTGTATGATGTAATCAATAAAGGAATAATGGAAAGAAAACTCAAAAAACCACCACCGTAGGGTGCTGGCTGCCGCCTCCTTCCGCCACCAGCCGTCGTGTTGGGTGGCGGTGTGTTTTAGCTTGTGATTAGTTAGCTTTTGTGATATTTGGACTTAATCAGACTAGAACCCTAACCACCACCGTGAGGTGGTGGCCGTCGTTGTGAGCCGCCGTTAACCACCACTACCCGAGGTGGTAGTGGGTGGTGCCCAACTTGTGAAACCCTAGTGGGCCTAATGAAACCCTAATGGGCCTAAGGACTTAGCTTTTGGGCCTAATTGGGTTGTGAGGGGTTACAAATCCTAATTAGGGTTTAGAAAACCCTAATTTTGGATATATGGGCCTTGGACTTATCGGGACCCACATTTGGGCCATTGGAATGGAATTGTGACATCGGATCCGACCACCTGCTCTGAGAGAGTGCTTCTGTGCCGGAGACGGATCTGCGAGGTCACAACAGACAAGACCGTTAGAGCCGCCCCAGGGACTGTGCCCCGGGAGCGGACTCCGACGATCAAGTTAGATCATCTAGTAGATCTGAGATGGTTCTATTTAGCTAGAGAGAACCATCTTGGTGCTGGTGGTGGTGTATGGTGGCTGACGGCGGTGGGTGGCGGCTGAGCCACCCGGCCGGAGTATAGAATGGCGGCTGAGCCAAGGGGAAGATCCAGTGGCGGCTGAACCACTTGGGGAAGAGTCCCTCGGAAAAGGTCTAGGAAAGGGTCCCTCCTTCATGGAGGAGACACTATTCTATTTATAGTGGACAATTAGGTCAGGCCTTAGGCCAACCCAATTCAGGTCCAACTAGCAAGGAGCTGGGCAAGGCCGCCCGGAGAGGTCGGGCGGGGCTGGCGGGCGCGCCCCAGGAAAGGCTGGCGGGCGCGCACCAGGAAAGGCTGGCAGGGGAGCGCCAGGCCGGGCCGACAAGAGAGTCCCCAGCACGGCTGGCAAGGGAGCGCCAAGCAAGGGAGCGCCTGGTCGGGCCAGCAGGAGAGTCCCCAGCACGGCTGGCAAGGGAACGCCAGGCAGGGCTGGCAGGAGCGCGCCAGGCAGGCTGGAGCTCTAGAGCAGTCTAGGCCATGCTAATGGACCATATATCATCAATAGGGGTAAAGCTATCTTTTACCCCAAGCATGGACATATGGGTATATGTGATGGAACCCAATTATTAATTTGGTGTTATTTTGATGTTGTTAGATTCGGGAATCTATCATCCAACAACTAGGGTTTTGTCAGCAGGACTTCAGCAGTGTGAGGTGAGTTTTCCTCCAGTAGGAACGGGTCGAAGGCACCAATATCGGCCCGTTTATGTATGTTAGCATATGCCGGACTTAGGTCCGATGCCGGGGATAGCCCGATGTAGCTTATATGTTCCGAACTTCGTTCCGATGCTGGGGCGGTCCCGAGAAGTGTTTATATATGCTTGATGTCTTTGTGATTCTTGCATGTTATGTGTTATGCGTTCCGGGATTCGGTCCGATGCCTGGGCAAGCCTGATGAATGTTTAGCTTATATCTTATATGTTATGTGTTTCGGGCTTCGGTCCGATGTCGGGTCAAGCCCGATGAATGTTTAGCTTATATGTTATGTTGTATGTATGCCAGACTACGGTCCGATGCCGGGGCAAGCCCGATGAATGTTTATATGCTTATGATATGTGTTTATGTTATATGATATGTTGTATGTATGTCGGACTACGGTCCAATGTTGGGGCAAGCCCGATGCCGGGCGGGGCCCGATGCCCGATGCGGTCAGATGCCTGGCGGGGCCCGATGTCGGGTAAGCCGATGTCGGGCGGGGCCCGATGCAGTGGGCTAGGCCCAAGTTATGTTTATGTTATGTGTTTATGTTATTTGCATTATTGATGTGTTTATATGTATACCAGATTTCGGTCCGATGTCGGGGCGGGGCCCGATGTAGCGGGCAAAGCCCAATGTATGGTATGTGGTAGTATGTGGAGACTCACTAAGCTTCGTGCTTACAATTTTTAGTTTTGGTTTCAGGTACTTCGGTTTTCAAAAGAGGAGCTCGGGATGATTGCAATGCACACACCATTTGTCTAGCATGGGATGTTTATACTTTGATATATTTTGACAGATGTTATGATATTTCGAGTTACACTATTTATGATTTCTATATGATGTTTAATGACTATGGTTTTCTTAATGATTTAAAACGAAATTTTTGGACTGTATTTTTGGGATGTTACAGAGTGAGTAGAGCTGATTCCAGACAAAGACGTTTCAGCTATCATCCGACAGTGAGGTGAGTTTCCTCCTGGTTTGAACGGGTCGAATGCACCAATGTCGGCTCGTGTATGTTATGTGTATTGATTAGTAGTTGAGTGTGGGTGAGGCTCATATCTCATAGATAGCGGAGTGCGGGTGAGGCCCGTATCTCATAGCATTATTTGAGTATGGATATAGGACTGAATGATAGATTTGGCTATACTTGTTGTCTGTGTGATACTTGTATGTATGCTTAGTAGCGGAGTGTGGGCGGGGCTCGTATCTCATAGTCAGCGGAGTGTGGGCGGGGCCCGTATCTCCTAGTTAGCCTAGTGTGGGCGGGGCTCGTATCTCATAGTCAGTGGAGTGTGGGCGAGGCCCGTATCTCCTAGTTAGCCGAGTGTGGGCGGGGCCCATATCTCATAGCCAGGGGAGTGTGGGCGAGGCTCGTATCTCCTAGTTAGCCGATTGTGGGCAGGGCCCGTATCTCCTTAAGTGTGGGCGGGGCATGTATCTCCTAGTAGTATGATTATGTGTATGGTATGTGGTAGTTTGGGGAGACTCACTAAGCTTCGTGCTTACAGTTTTCAGTTTTGGTTTCAGGTACTTCCGGTAGCAAGGGGAAGCTCGGGATGACTGTAGTGCACACACCATTTGTTTTGCTTGGGATGTTTTACTCTGATATATTGAGATGTGTATTGATATGATACTCTGATTTGATACGATGACTTATGTTTTTGGATGAAATGATTTTGATAACTATGGTTTATTTAATAATTAAAAATGAAATTTTTGGTCATGATTTTTGGGATGTTACAAGTTGGTATCAGAGCCTTGGTTTGAGGGATTCGAGAACACTCTCGGGTGTGTCTGAACTCAAACTGAGGACTTGGTATGAAAAACTTTCAAAAGAAAACCATTTTTATAAAAAGGATTTTGAAAAGAGAAAAGGGTGTGGTGCATGTAATTAGCCGAACTCAAGTAAGTTCTCCCAAATTACGCATACACGATTATGTTATGATATGAAATGTGAATATGTGAACTGCATGCTAGATTAGGGCTAAGGATCTAGGAAGGATGCCTTGTATGCCTACTGTATGACCTTATTGAACTACATGCTAGTACTGATTAGTTATTGATATGATAGCCTGATTAGGATATGCTTGGTTTTGTTTACTCAATGCTCGAATTGTTGTTTGCTTTGTGCTTTTAGGAGTTCTAGTTACATTTAACTAACTAGCAAACGAATATGTTAAGTTACATATTATGAGGACTAAATAATTTCAGAGGGTTAGGTTTAGCCTTATTTCGCAGCTCTTGTTTGAGTCTAACCGTTGTAGGGAGAGACCTCTCATTCGAAGGATTATCTGGTCTTAGTAATATGTAATGGTATTCGCGAGCTAGTTAGGGAAAGGTAGCGGGGACTTCTTATGCAGCTGATGGCGGAGAGTGTGATGGGGATTACCCTAGGGAAAGCCTAGGATAAGATTAGCGTGTGAAGCAGTAGTAGTGAAAAGGGACTTGGTGGAGTCAAGGCAGTTCTTGAGGAAAGTACGGATAGATGTGGAAGGTAGTATATGTTGGGTTTTGAGCATTCTAACACTCCTATGGTGTACATGCAACCCTATAAACCTTGGATCTATGTTTTCTCTATTATACATGCAAATATTAACTATTCCAAGGTTTCATCCTAACTAGCATATTATGAAGCACCTATACTACAAAGTTCTAGTTAGATGACATACCTTTTGATGTAGCTTGATGTCTTCAAGCTTTAAGAGCTTAGCCCCAATAGTGTGGAAGCCTCAAATGGAATCACAAATCACCAAAACACCTTGGAAGAACTTGAGAGAATATGTATGCACACTAAAATCGGCCCACTCTTATTTTTCACACACTTGTGTACAATTTTGTGAGCCAAGGACCCCTTTATATATTATGGAGGATTAGGGTTACATCCATGTAAACCCTAATACCCATGACCTTTCATTTACATAGGATCCATGGGTTAAAAGCTCCATGGACCATCCATGAAAGCTTAGCCCAACCTAAATGAACTTGGCCCATTCCATATATATAAGAGTCCATATTTAATTAGTTCTTTTTTATCACTTAATTAATTCTAAATTATTCTTGATCAATACTATTAAAAATATGATTCCATATAATATATTAGAACTTATAATATATTAATATAAATCATAAATATACTATTCTCAAAAGACTATCCATATAAATTGTGTCGGTGAAGTGCAACCCAAATGGACCACGCCGGGTCGGGTCAAGTACATACCAAATATAGTTATGGACTTAGACATTAATCCAACAGTATGTGCATGTACTATTGAACGTAGAGGAACCGTACTCGAATCAAGGAAGGTTGAGATGAACCCAGGGAACTTGTAGTATGTGAGATCCCTCGAGTTATGATGAGTATTCTGATGTTTGTTATGGTGTATTTTCAGTATGGTGACGCTATGCACTAGGCCAGTTGGCAGCTCTGGCGCCGGTGAGGGATCAGGCTCGGGCTCTGGAGCCGAGCAGCTGGATGTGCAGATGAGAGATTTCATTTCATCA